AATAAATATTTATTTTGTGACTATAAATTGACAAATAGATCTAATAGAATTTATAAATAAATAAGCTAGAACGTCGGTTTTTATTATCACAGAAACAGATCTCTGAATCGGCTTTTGACAAGACAAATAAATATTTATTTTTTAACTAACAAGTGGACAAACAGATCTAACAGAGTTATCGGTGTCTTATGATCTGTTACATCATCTGTCAATAAATAGATAAATAGATTTTCTGTCGACAAGTGAAAAAAATTCACAATAATTTCAGGGTTAACAAATCGAAACTGAATAATTCTAAAGGAGTACATAATCTTTTTCTACCGTTAATGTACAAGTTTATGATCAGAAATTCTGAACATTAATTGGAACTAACTGGAGATTACTTCGTTAATTACAACAGCTCGATTCCGCGAACATTCGAAAAATCTAGTCGCACGATCCTGCGAATGTTAGAATTTCATTTTGGAATGAAATGAAATGCGTGGAATTTTTCCTTTATGTGCGCGCGCGCGTGTATGTGTGTGAAATTAAGTAAAAACATATTTTTTACCTGACGTTTTTTTCTTCTAGACGCTGCTTTGAATAGAATATTCGTGTCGTTTCGTCGTTATCCCATTGAACGAGAATGAATACCGGGAGAAGAAAGACGGAAATATAAAATACGACGTCAATAAAACCTAGAAATTGTGACAGTTAATTGGCAATGAAATTCCATTTCTAAATAAGACATCGATCATCGCTTTTACACGCGGCAGTTATCGAACTAGCGTGCCGCTAATTGACATTTTATTTTCGGCTGTTTTACGATTTCCTCGTTCGAAAGAAAACGCGGCGTCGATCAAAAGGTCCTAGAATATTATGAAAAAATGTCGTTTCATTTGGCTAATTAAACGAGAATTCCTTCGAGCTTCGGTTTTATCTCTTCGGTTGTTCTTTCTCCTTTCGCTGCCAATAAATAGAAATCACTTCTCGGTGCCGATGAAACTCCATTTGTCGAGTCAGTTTTCGAAACAATGAATGCGACTGAACCACCAATTAAATCTCGGAATCTCGTTCTAATCGAAGAAATAAGTTTAGTATTGAGGCACGAATTTTTAACCCATTGAGACAAAGTTCCAAGTCACGTAGAAATTTTATTTTAATAATATATTATAATATTACTGTATAATATGTTATTTATAATTTTATATATTTATTTTATGTAAAATAATAATTATACATAAATTATACATAAATTATACAAAATATAAAAATTAAATGAAATATACCTACAATAATACATGTAATTAATAATAATTTATAATAAAATAATAAAATATAATAAAATATAATAATTTATACATATAAAATAAATATATAGGATTATTTCAGTTGTTAAAGACATCGAACGAAATGTATAAAATAAATTATTTCACGAAATTTAATGAAACTGAAGCACCTATTTATAAGACTGTGATTAAACTGTAGATTTTTATGTGTTTCATGGAGAATTTGTAAATGAATGAAATATTAAAAATATTTAATACTGGCAGATGAAAGCAGATAACATAGTTTCTTATCTAGTTTCTTCTTAATTATTCACAGTCTAATTGCTTGGTCGTTAATGGGTTAATTCGTTGCACCAGCAGCGAATTTGATTTGACCGCGATAAAATATCTAATCCCTCTTTTGGGAATACCTTGCATACGTATTGTACAAGGAATTCTCGTAAATCCCGTTCCCCAGAGTCTCGTACGTCTAAATTAAACGAGACTCCATCTTTCCACCTTTCTTACCAGAGATACGATTCTACACACTGTTGCCTGTTAATTTACAATGATAAATTATCCCGTTTCGTCAAGAAAGTTAGGTATACACCAAGCTAAGAATATTCAAAACCGCCGATCGATTAATACGATGAAAAATGACTCTCTTTTTTTCCCTTTCTGGTTTCTCAGTGATTAAGAACGTCATCAATCAATAGATCCGAAAGAAAAGGAATTTTTCTCCGGCTAGTTACGTAAATGAGGAATTTTCCTCGCGCCTTCTGCTGATCGCTTTATACGCCATTATGTGCCTATACTACTGCTCCTTTCGGTCGCGATAATCATATCACAATGTCTTTATTTATACACAGCGTAGTGAATAAAGACTCGATGATTGAATCGCAAAGTCAGTCGTCAATTATGTACGCGTAAAGAATAATATACGCTTTGTCTCGTCTAAATCGAAACACTTTTTCAACACAAGAGCCTGCAGTGGAGATCGATCGAGGATCAAGCAACAATTTATCATAATTAAAAAAAATGCGGATTTTCACGTATTTATTATTAAAATTGTATAAAAGTATGCTGCTTTAGATCTCAATCTAAACTTTTGCTTCAAATTTAAATAATTAGCAAAAGGAAGAATATATGTACACCCCACGAAACTATTTCAAACAACAATACTCGTCGCTACACATAAAAAAAATACGAGCGAATCGCGAACATGCGACCACGCGACACTGCGCATCATGCATGCCGAAACTTTTTTAACGAACCGAGAACGCTTAAAAAAAAAAAGAGAACGTTGAAACACAAATTAATTAACTGCCAGAGATAAATACGCGCCGAAACGAGATAACGACAGAAGAATATACCGAATATACGTTAGTATTGTCAGTTGGACAAATTGCAAAGTTCTTCGCGAGCTAGCTAAAATGATGAAAGACGAAGAGGAGGAGAGCTTAGGGGACGCGTACGTGCGCGCTCTACGCCTCGGGCTGGAGAAAGTCGTCCTCGCGAGGCTGGCTGCCGCGCGATGCACCGTCTTCGTGCCATCATCCGGGGAATGTTATTACACGGTTTCACGTAACGCACGTGCCGAGTCGACTGACGCGAGGTAACGTTCCCGCTCGACGAGGGCCAAGTATCGAGGCCATCGTCGAGGAACGGGTCCCAGGTGAAATCGGAAGGGAGCCGATCGTTTCCAAGTTCGATCGCTTGATTTACAGCTCTGGCTTCGCGATCCAGCTGCATCGCTTCCGGGACTGTACTAAAGACGTGCACTAAACATCCGGCGAATTTCAACGGGAAGTTTTTTTTTTTCCTCGCAATAACAATAACGTGGCGAACGTTTAACTCGCGAAGAATGAACTCTCTAAGCGAAGAGAAATCTCACCACGCGGAAGTTCATTCGGCTTTCCATTTTTTTCTTTTTTTTTTTTTTCTTCGTTCTCCTCGTGAGAGACGCGCCGAAATTTTTCACAACTTGCCTCTAAATTAATATTGCCGGTAATAATGACTGGAATCGAAGAAACTGCACCGCGGTTGACCCTGGAGATTTCTAAAACGCGGGAGAAATCCAACGAGATCTTATCGCGGAAGCTCTGTCCTTTATTCCGAGAGAATGTTTAAGTAGGGAAAAGTCATCGACATTTCTATCCCGTTCTGGGTGCATCTTCCTCCAAGGAGATGCTTCTACGCGCGGGAAAATTGCAATCTGCGTTGTGCAATATAACTTTAATGTCTGGACTGCAAGAGCAAAATGAGAATATGTACTTTGAGAACGCTTGTCTAAATAGAGCGGAAACAGAATATAAGACACAGACTTGTAGATTAGAAATATTTCTCATATTTTTATTTCTCCTCGTAGCGAATTTTTCTGTTGGATTTTTCGTTATACAGTTAATAGCACACTTTCTTCTCTGCGTAGATTCAAATGTAGATTTTTTTTTTTTTTTTTGTTAGATATTAATTTTTCAAGCAATTTTATTCCAGCAGATAATGATCGAAAGGGGAATGCATTTACAGATATATTCATTTCAAAGTTGCAAGCAACAATTTTCATATCAAATCTTTCTTTGTCAAGATACTCTAATATATAATAATTAAAGAGAGAAACATATTTATAAATATTGTTATTATTATTTTTATCGACCCAATTATTCTATACATTCTGCGTAATTGTATAATTCTTCTTCTTCTATGCTCAAATAACTCCGTCGCTACTAAGAATTAATAAACAAATAAAAGAAAAGAAGAAATAACACGTGTAATATTCCATGAATATATTTACTACGTACGAGACATGTATCGTCAAATTTTGCAGAGAATTCGCTCGTATCGCGAATTTATCCTACACACGCATACTTGCAGAGATTTTTCCACGTACCACGGACTTTTCTCAACGCCTCGCGACTGATCATATATTTGTAATAACACATTGCGAAACGCAGCGCGAACAATGGTCTCGCAATTTTGCGCACGCATTAGCGGCAGATAAAGATTTTTCGCCGCCTCGACGGGGGGAGCGTAAAAATTTCGTATCCCGCGTCGAACGCGGAACTAATCGAAACACTTTCTAGTTGTCCGATCGATAAGAGTGCCAACAGAAGGAGCGAATAATATTTATTTGGTGGCTAACCTGTCGGCAAATTTCTCTTATCTGCGTTTCTCGCGTGATGTATCTCTCGCTCCCGGTTGAAAGGCTCTCGCGAACCGGTTAATTACGTTTAATCGATCGATCTGTTTTCCTTTATCTACGAGGAAGTTTCGCGGACGTTGAAACGTCGGTGATCCTCGAGCGGAACGCTCGCCAAACACGGCGAGGCAATGCATTTCTATTTTCACCATTTCCCTATTTTGGACGGTGCTACACCGTTTCTGCGAACAGCAGGTTTATGGAGTTACGTTAAACAGAGAGATTTTTTTCTCGCCTATTCTTAGTAAGTCCGTTTCAGTTTCACTGATCCTGCGCAAGTAAATCGAGGAAAATGTTGGATTATTAATTTGGTAATTATTAGTGTTGTTTCGTGATTTAAAGTTGAATGCAAGTAATAGGGAATTGCGTTTTCGTAGTAATTGTAAATTAAAGATATAGATTCACGAAATAACTGAGAAAACCTAAAATAAAATAAAATAAAATAAAATAAATTGAAATAATCTAAAATAAAATAAAATAAATTGAAATAATCTAAAATAAAATAAAATAAATTGAAATAATCTCAAATAAAATAAATTGAAATAATCTAAAATAAAATAAAATAAATTGAAATAATCTAAAATAAAATAAAATAAATTGAAATAATCTAAAATAAAATAAATTGAAATGATCTCAAATAAAATAAAATAAATTGAAATAATCTAAAATAAAATAAAATAAATTGAAATAATCTAAACTAAAATAAAATAAATTGAAATAATCTAAAATAAAATAAAATAAATTGAAATAATCTAAAATAAAATAAAATAAATTGAAATAATCTAAAATAAAATAAATTGAAATAATCTAATATAAAATAAAATAAAACTTGAAACACAGTATTTTACCAAAATTGCCAGAACTGCGAAATTTTCTTGTACTAGAAAAATACAAGGTCGAATACTTCCTAGATGAATACGATGTTTGTCTCGAACATGGATTCCTGAAAATCTACGGAGAATGCAAAGCCAATTGATTTACGCCGAGTGAAAGGATGAAGAATGTGTCCGGCACGCGTCACCGCCACGGGAAAATAACGACTACAAAATAAAGAAGTAGTAAAATAACGTGATTTTACGCGAATTTACTACTCGATGCGAGATTAATATCTGGCGATTCATTATTGTCGGGAAATTTGTACTAGTGACACTTATCTGAACCCCATTTCATTCTATAATGGAAATTTTTTGCTAGTGCGTTAAAATATTAAAATTTGATTTTCTTAATAAAAACACTATATATATATATATATATATATATATATATATATATATATATATATATATATATATATATCCTCTTTCTCATTTTTACCGTCACTATAAAATATCACGTGTCTGTCACTCCTTCAACTGACAATCGACAAGCGAATCGCTCGCGTCAAAGATCGATTCGTCACTAGAGCGCGCGATTTCAGGCTGCTATCTCCGCAACGAGAGGTAGAATGCTCGCGTTCCTCCAGACACGCCAAGTTCCTTCGATCTCGTGTTTCTTGGAACACGTCGATCCGACTACTCGGGAAAACAACGAGCGATCCGATCTCGCTCGGCAATTTGCACGTGAGCGTTCAATAGACACGTCGATGCCGGTATGCGCTTCGTGGGCCGAGATTCAGGCGCGTTCCTTGCACAACCGGTGATTTAACCGTGCAACCGACTGACACAACGCGACGGTCGTAATTTACTGGGAATCAATCGCAAGTGTCAACGAGTAATACCGCTCGCTCTCCTTTACGCTCTCGCGAATGTCAGGTTCGAATCGAAAGAAAGAATCCGGCCGTCAAAGGACGCGGTGTATTTCTTACATAGATGCTTTCGATTCGCACGAGTGTCGATTTTCACGTTGTTGCTTCCGGTACTGTACGCGTCAGTTGTAAAACTCGCGTTTCCAGGTACTCGTTTGCGATATCGTTTCGTTCGTGGTTGCACAGGATGGAGATTAATACATTCGCTGTGGTCATCGGTCTGTTTCTACACGAGTTTAAATGAACAGCCTTTTTTTATTTAAAAAGTTTTTAAACGTCGCGTTACTATATGTTATCTTTACTGCGACGTAATAGTTTGCTAAGTAGTTTAATTTAATTTTAATTGATTTTCATAGAAAAATGAAATAACAATAAACGAACGTATGCTCATAATTGTAGGTTCTTAAGACAAGAATTAAGTACTTGTTTCAAAATTGAATGAAAACGATATCTGGTTTTTTTTTTTTTTTTGCCGCGCAAACTACAGCTGCAGTTTAAAAATTTCAAAAAGCGATAATTAAAAGCTATCCCAACACTTCTATTCTTATATGCACATGCTTGTAACATTGATTCCTACTG